CACACACACACACACACACACACACACACACACACACACACACACACCCCTTTCCCCAAATATCCAAAAATAGGTAAGCAAAAAGTAGTGAGTGATCCAGAGACTTATGCAAACTCTTAGAAAAGATGAAAAGGGAAGATTTTTCTATACAAAATAACTGTCATGTGAAATTACTTTAATAGGGAAAATCAAACCCAATTACAGAACTGCTACAAGATGACAAGGGTAAAAACAATCTATCACTCAGATCTCTCTTTCCTCTAAAATTTCAAAATCTTTGTTTCTATTGCATATTAACTTAGCCTTGCATTTATTTGTAAATATCTTACCTTTCCTGCTATATTTTAAGCCTCATAAATGCAAGAATCAAGTCTCTGAATTCCTAGAAAGTTTTATACATTGTAGGCAATTAATCAACTTGGTTCAAATCATCAAACGTTTGCAATACTGATGAGGGGATACAATGATAAAAGATATATTATGCTATTCTCAAAGAATTTATTGAAAATCCAGGAAAAATGTATTATGGTCACATTGATAAGAAAAAATGCTTGCTTAGAGATAAATCAATAACATACAAGAATCCTCTTTTTCTTAAGAGGTTAAATGTTGGAGGAAAAGGGGTTGTTACATAAAGAGTTTGTTAGTGTCAATACGTATATTCTTGAAAAACCTGCCATTCTGTAAAACTGTGCACTAAAAATAACAAGATTTACCGAGAAAAATAGCTAGCTTTGGGCAGACTACTCAACATTTATGAAACTTTGTAACTAGATCACTAATGAAAACATTAACAATCCTATTAAAATCCAAGGATTATTAATCCATTGATTTTCATTAATCTATTGTTTTAACACAGGACGGAATGCCATTGTAGCTTCTTCATTTGCACTTGAGCATTGCAGGAACCACTTACATGAAGGATATCTCCATAGATTTTTTCTTGTAGTTTACACATTTGCTAAATCTGACTCTAATTGCGAGAAAGCTTGACACTGATTGTTACAAAGCATTTAATATGCTGGGAAAAATCATGCTGGAAACAATGTAACTTGAGGATAACACTAGTAATTCTAAATTCATGTGAGTTAATTATGCCAAAGAAACACACATGTAGCAGAACAGACAGATTGATAAGTGGCTAATCCAGGTATTGGTGTATGTGACCAGAGTTTATAGTCAGAGTAATTGTAATAGAAGTAATGGTATCAGCTGGCAACACTTACTGAGGGTTACTATGTGCCAGGCATGATGTTAAACCCTTTACATGGATTATCTCATTTATTCTTCACATAGACTCTATGAAGTAGATGAAGAAACAGCTATTTAATAAGATTAAGTATTAATATTTGTCCAAGTTTACAAAGTTGGAAAGTGGCAAAGCTAGGATTTGAACCTAGATCTTTCTGAATCTACGGCCTCAGTTAGTAAAAACCACTATGAAATAATATTCTTTATCCAATAAAAGCATGAAATGATTCTATAATGGTAACTGACAATATGGCCCAATGCTCTTTATCCAACTGGTACATGTCAGTGTTACAGCTGATATGATGTATGGACCTAGAAAACCACTAAGCATTGTACAGCACTTGTTATTTTTCCAGACTTCAGCTTTTTGGCTAGGATGTGAGGAAAATCTTTGGACATGGCCAAAGGAGAATTCCAGAAGTGAGACACCTCATTTTCATTTCTTTCCAGCTGGGTCAGAGGTTCACTGTGATGACTCAGGCTACGCAAGGGCTGTGGAATGGACATGCAGCTGTACTTCTAAATTCAAATGGGACATCAGACTGGGGTGAGCGGGAGGATTATGACCGGGAAATTCATACCCAACTGGAGCCAGGATGCTAGGCACTGATGCCAGACAAAGAACTTGTGATGGAATCTTGGCTTTTCAATTCATTTAATCTAAATTCTATTTAACTTAACATGCTCCAGGAATTAACTAATTCCTAACATTTGGGACTGGCCAAATGTTAGGGCTGCAAAACTTGAGTAATCCATAAATCCACAGGCCCGTGGAACTAACTGTGGCCACTTCATTGAGCATATTCTGTGCAAGGCACTCTTCTTGGTATTTTACATGTATTAGTTCACTAAATTTTCACAACTCTATTATGTAAGGATTAATGTTCTTCCTATTTTATGGGTGAGAAAACTGAGGTGCAGAGAGCTTAAGAAACCTGTATAAGGTCACATAGCTGATGAGTATGTGGCAGAGCCAGGATCTGAACTAGGCTCTTTGAATCCAGAGCCTCCATTCTTAACCTACTCCCTACACTCTTTCTCTAGTAGTAGGAGACAGAGGGGTTAAAAAAATAATAATGTGGGGAGATCAGAAAAATTATGGACATATGTACCCAGTAGAATACTGGTAGAGGAGAAAGTGATTAATCCTGCTTGGAGTGGTGGGGAGGACAGAGTTGTGGGAGGAGTGCCAATTCCGCAAAGCCTTCGTAGCAGATGTTGAATGGTTATCAGGGACAGCAGAGGAAACAGCATAGACAAGGCAATGGAGGCGGGAAATGGCCTGCCATGTGTACAGTTTGAAACATAAAGTAAACGTGGTAGGGTAGCAGGAGAGGGCTGTGCAGCGGTAGGAGAGATCAGAGAGAGGAAGAATTCAAATCTATGAATTGGCCATGCCACAGAGTTTGCCTTTTTTTTTTTTTTTTTTGAGACAGAGTCTTGCTCTGTCACCCAGACTGGAGTGCAATGGCATGATCTCGGCTCACTGCAATCTCCGTCCGCCAGACTCAAATGATCTTCCTGCTTCAGCCTCCTAAGAAGCTGGGAATTCAGGTGCATTTCACCCTGCCCAGCTAATTTTTTATTTTTAGTAGAGATGGGGTTTTGCCATGTTGCCCAGGCTGGTCTCAAACTACTGGCCTCAAGCAATCAGCCTACCTTGGGGAGTATGCTTTTTTTTTTTCTGTTTTTTGTTTTTTTAGAGATGGGGTTTCACCATGTTGGCCAGGCTGGTCTCGAACTCCTGACCTCAGGTGATCCATCTGCCTCGGCCTCCCAAAGTGCTGGGATTACAGGCATGAGCCACCGCGCCCGGCCTGGAGTTTGCTTTTATGTGGGAAATATTAAAATAAATTTTAAAAAGGGGAGAAAGCAAGCAATCCGGTTTGTTTTTAACTCCAGATGCAGTGTGGAGAATGGAACGATGCATGGCCAGGGTCAGGGAGTAGGTGTTGGGAAAAGAAGGCAAAATCTAGAAGTAGAGTCCATTTAAGAGATTCTAATTATCCTTAGTGAGAAAGCAACGTGATGGGAATGGGGAAGGAGGGATGAGTAGTGAGATTTTCTTTTGTAGGCCAGATCAATAGGACTTGTTGATTCAGGTGGGGGTGGGGGGGCTGGAGGGAGATTTCCTTATTAAGAGTAAAAAGTTGATTCTTCTGAAGCCTAAGTGTTTGAAGTCAGCTCTAGCCTCTTGCTGGGAACTTGGACTTAAAAGGGGCACTGCATTTTTAGATGCATGAATCCTAATTGTGGCAAATAATTAATTCATGGTATCATTATTTTCACCTTTTTTTGGTATAGTATCAAAAAGCCCCCACTGAAGTAAACAGCAATGCTTTACTTTGCCAATGATTACTGGTTTCATAATATATCATACACAATCCCAGAGAAACTCTGCCTATTAGCTTGGGTTGCCCACTGACAGATAATTACCACCTGGTATTTCTGTACTGTAATAAGGATCTTTGATCTCATTTTACCCATTTCTTGAAATAACATTCAAAGATGGATAAATTACCCCACTCCTAAAACTGGCTGAGAAAACCAAGAACCAAAAGCCAAGAAAAGGTCACATTTCCCAGCTTACAACTTCCTCCTTTCCCTTAGGCGGCTGGCATCTGCCTTTCTGCTCAATTCCAGCCATGAGTGGGAAGCTCCTGGCTTTCTGGAGCCAGAGGATGTTCAGGAGGAAAGCCCACTTAGTCAAGGGCGAGGCCACAGCTGGGAGGATGACTCGCACTGGATCCAAAAAGAAAACAAATGGTCTCAGAAATATGGTGGTCATGGGGTAATGGTGGGGGTAGGGGTGTGCAGAGGTGGGCCACTGCCTTTTCCAGGAAGTTGGTTAGTGAAAGAATTCTGGTAGGAAAAGATGAAAAAAATGTCCACTTACTGATACAAGAAATCAGATCATTAAATCTTTCCTTAGGAAAGAGGGGGTTTTCCAGCCCACGGAAATAGAGCTTCAGAACGCCAGCAACTGAGTTAATATCATGGTTACTCTGGTCATCAGCCAAAGGATTTTCACCTAAAAAAAAATTTGGTACATTTACAATGATTTTTCTTCTCTGAACAAAAATATATTTCTATGCATACACACACATTGCTATATATACACATGTATGTTTTAATTATGCTTTATGAAAGATTACATGGTACTAAAATTAAAATAATTGGCTTAGATATCCCACCCCATGATTAACCTAAAAATAGTTGGCTAAAATAAAGCTTTTAAAATCTTATGCCACTAAATAATCCCTTACAAGTTACCCAAATCTTTAAATAAAATATTGTGGGATTTGTAATTTTACCCAACCCCCCCCCCCTTTTTTTTAAGTTGAAATCTGTAATCTTAGTTTGACATAAATTCAAACACTGCATCCTGTGTTTCTTACCCTACTGGGAAAAAGACACGCCATAGGTCCATCTGGCTATGCTATATGGGTCAGCAAAATTTATCAGAAATATCACAGGCTCCACTGAATTGTGAACACCTACAATTAAGTAAGTAACTATTTCCCAAAGTGGCATGGTGGTATTCAAAGCACATGTGAAAGCTGTCTTAAGCAGAGGGAGGCTCTAAAATCAGATAGAGTAACTTGAAAATGTATCTTTCATGCTACCAAGGGGTTTGTATAAAAAGTGGGAATTAAAAAATATATCACAAATATAAAATTATATTGTTATTTATGGTAAACAACTTTAAAATATTAGACAACTAGTCTGGTTAGTGTTCCTCTTAGAGATAAAATCCTTAAGAAGTTCAACATAATATAGAGCCTTAAATCATTTATTTACAGTTTTATGCTTCTAAAGTTCATAAAAAGTGTGCATTGCATTTTAACATTTTTTTTTTGCTTCTTAGGGCAATTTATTTTTAGGGATCTGTTGTTCCCTTTTCTCTGTTCCTAGGGCAAGAAATCACTGAACATGAATTTATCAGAATATAATAATTACTATTAGTTTTGCCCACTGTGAGAAAGCCTCACCCAAGCAGATCACAAATAACAAATACCAGGAAAATTTTCAAGGAAAAATGATAGTGTATTTTGCCTGTGGTGGCTAGCACAGAACCGGATACTTTACCGCATTTCAGCTTATCCTGAAGATGGCCAATGCATGAGACTTGGCACATATGGCTGCTCTGCTCTAACCATCAAGTTTTACAGTTTTCCAGACGAGGAAACAGAGGCAAAATAGGAATTGAATGACTGGACCCAAATTTCATGATTGATTAGTAGCTGAGAGTCCGATATGATTCTAGGTCTGCCTGACACATATGATTCTAGGTCTGTGCCTAGAGATGTCAAAGGTGTGCAGCTTTGCTAATTATAACGTGCCAACTGGAATGTTCCTAACATAAGGAAATGATGTGTACTTTAGGTAATGGACACCCCAGTTACCCTGATGTGACCATTACACACTGTATGTCTGTGTTAAAACATCATCTGTATCCTATTAATACATAATACCATTAGGTACCCATCATAGTTAAAAATAAAAAATTAAGGGAACATAAAGTATTGACATTGAAAAAAATAATATATATGGTATATGACACAGTTTAGTAAAACTTGACAGCCAGTTATGAACAAGCATAAGGCAACCCCCAGGGTCACAGGGAAGGAGTCTGAGGATGCTGAGAAGAGGAAGGGAAGAAAGAGCTCCCGACAAAGGGAGCAGCTGGGCAGCTGGGAGGAGCTGCCTCCCTCACCTGCTGTCTAGGCCCAGGGCTGTCCTGGCCATGCTTCTAGAACACTTTCAGCCCCACATTTGATATACCTGGCACCAATTATCAATGTCAGTCCTCAACCAGGATGCAGAACTCATATGCTTTTCTAATTTTAATATCAAGGCCTGATAGTTTTGGTCCCATTTCTCAGCTATTCTGAATGGATTCTTACCGCTGCACCCCTAATGTATTAAATACAAAGAGAAAGGTTTTGAGGATATACAGAATAAGGGTGGCACTTCAGTTTACAGAACATGATGACTTTTTAACATAGTTTGCTTATAGGGATAGATGTGCAATTACCTCTCTCAAATGAATTTTTGATATCATTGACTTCCACCTGGGAACCAGACACTCTGAAAATCCCCTGATGTTGAAGACCTAAAGAGAAAAGAAGGGAAAGAGAATAAAAACCCTATCACACTGTCTAGGTCCCCCCTTTCCCAGGAAGTAAATTTACTGAAACACTTCTAGTGATTTTTTAAAAATAAGAATTCTGTAGTTTATGGCTTACCATAGAGATTGATGAACCGAATGCAGCTTTCCACAATGAGGGGAATAACCTGTCCCGAGTCCTGGGTAAAGGGATGGAAACCAGTTAACCTCAAGGAAGAGGTATAAACCCCACGTGATAATAAGGCTTACAGTTTAACAGGAATTAAAGAGGGATTTTTGCAGTTCTGGAGCAAACCAAATTAAATATATTTAAGGCAATCCTGTTTCAACTTACTCTGCTGTGCCTAGAGATATCAAAAGCTAACTCATCTCTTTTGCTTATATTAAGACTCACATACCAAAATGAATATGTGAATAGCTCATTTTTAAAAGCTTATTTATACAAGTGACCAATCTTTAATGGACCTAAAAAAGAACTCTGTGTATTATAATCATAATATCTTCAGATTGATTGGCTGTATTCATCATGAAAGACAACCTTTCAGCCATCTCAGGATTCTCTGACATCCCTGAGACTACATCACCTAGATGACAGATTATAAAACGGCTTCCATGTCTATAGATGCATAATATGAGAATTGTTACAGAGATAATTAAATCATGTATTTATTTAGTTTGCATCAGAACCTACAGGTTTTTCATTGTTATGTTTTCATATTTTAAGAAAGAAGCAAATAAATGACACAAATGTATATCCCAGTAGATTTCATTTTTTAGAAAGGAATATTTTTGGGCCTTCTTTCCCCACATCTTGTAAAACAGTCATTGCCTTCTACAGAACAAATGTAAATTGCGGCAATGCTTTAAAACATTCATAGGATGACAAATGAGATAAAAGGCTGCTGAGGTCACAGTTAAATATGTACCGATGCCATGTACTCCATGAAGTTAAAGAAAGCTATGGACGACAGAATTATTTTTCATGTACTTTTAAGACTCTGCTTTTTCAGGAATTAGATCTTAAAAACAAAGCCAAACCAAACCATGGGGCTCAAAAATGGTTAGCTAACATCAGATATTAATTCATGAGAAATTTTATTTTGAAATGCAAGAAAAAGTTGGTTATCTTAATATATTAGAACAATTCAGAATCCATTAACCTTTCCAATTAAGCAGTGGGGAAAGGATTGGGAATAATGCAGTTCAGCAATTTAAACTCTTTAGTATTCCTAGAATGGGTAATACACTTCTTAAGGGATTGTCTTATTTTAGGTTTTAAGACAATCTAATCAGTGTATAAACCAGATAATGGCTCAATTACTTCTTGAGCCTATATTAAGTTTCTCTAATTAGTTAATTTGTTTTAGGAGCACAAATTTTATTAATTTCTTAAAGAAGAGTCTTAAGAATAAAAACACATTTTAGTGTGGACTAGTTAGCTCAAGAACAGCAATGTAATGATATCACAACCTAAAATGTGAAAGGATTCTTCTTTAAGATATAAGTGTTTTAGAGGAAGTAAACTATACAAACAATTCATGGAACACTAATCTAAAAGCAACACATTTTTAAATGTAAGTGATAAAAGGAGACCATTAGTTTATATCTCTGCTGAACTTAGTAAACAAAAACAAAAGCAAAGAATAAAAGGTTATTAAAAGGAAAATGTTTGCATTAAGAAAGTTCTCCATAAAATATGTCTTAGGTTTTCATATTTTTAAAAAATGTTTTTGTGTTTACATTTAGTAATTGCTTTTTTAGAAACCTATGATCAGTATTTCATTCAGATATAATGAATTTTGTAGTCAAAAAGTAATGAGTGTATATGATTTAATTTAATTTTATAGATTTCAGATGCTTAGGTAGAAAATGTTAAGAAAATATTTTATAACAACACTGTAGTGCATTTCGTCTACCATTCAAACTGGTCCCTTAGTGTCAGTTTTCCCATGAAAAAAAGAGAAAAACGGTTTTGCTCTTGGAAGTGTCTTCGCAGTGACACTGTGAAGATTTCAAGTGATCGAGCCCTTTTCAGAAGTGGAAAGGAACCCTCAGTATTATTTCTATTACCAAAGATTTTTCAAGGTGCCATCTGGGCAGTGAAGAGCTTCTGTAAGTGAATTTTCCATGATACCTGGTTTATTTATTCTCTAGTGCCTCAATTTACTTTCCTGTAACTGCTCTTAATGAAAAATATTAAAAAATATATAATACGTGCTTCCCTATCATCTTAAGTAGCCATTCTCATACTGTATTATCAAATAGAACAGAATTCTATGTCTGCTTCTTGCAGCTTTTCTCTATTCTCTTTCTCTGCCAGGTCTTCAGCTGAATATCTCATGTCTTTCATTTTATTGTTCCTCTCTCTCCATCTAATTTGCCCCTGCTTATAAGCCATGGGCTGGGAAACTAGATAATCAAATTTGACAATAATTTTATATTAAATTAGAGCCAATAAGGCTATTCTGGGTTTAAGGCTTAAGGCAGTAGATTTTGTAATTGCTATTTAGTTCTTCAGTGGCTTTTCACTTAACTCCAGAGTAGGGCTGATTTTTAAGGCTGCCAGAGATTTTTAATCTATGTATTATGTATGTATGTATCTATCTGTCCATATACATGCCACATGCACATTTCTTTAATTATTAGTACACATATTCAATAAACAGACCTAAGAAAGTAAGACACCTGTAACATATCATTAAGAGAGGTTATTAATAATGTGATTTCCTAAATGAATTCAGTTTGCAGAAACATGGCAGCCATGCCATAAAATGTGAGCTCTAAAGGAGAAAGCAAGCCCTTTTCTTTTTGTAAAGTTCACACTAGGGTCCATAATCCAGTATTAAGCGTGTATTTTATATTTAACATCGACTTTACCTAATAAAAGCCCTCGATCACACTTGATACATTTGCCAAAGACATAATGTAAAAACTAAGGGTTTAATGAACGCATTTTTTTCCTCTAGGGTTTGATTTCTATAGTTTCTAAGTAAAACCTATTTATAAACCTGTCTAATTTCCAATTGCAAACATTTTTCTTTTAAAAACCTTAACAATGTAATTAAAGCCAAGCATGAGCACGACTTGAAAATGATACTGACAGTGAAGGAGGCTGCACCCTCATGTCCCTCTAGCACTATACCTGATGTCTCGTGTGCGAGTTCCTTCGTCCTCGGCTAGAAGCATTATCAGAAATACAGGATGAAAAAGAAGACGAAGAGTAAACACAGCAGAGATACAAGGTATAGATCACAGGGCCTTACAATTTATTCAATATAATGAATTCCTCAAGTCATGGGAAATCAAAACTCCTGCTGTGCTTCAGAGCTAGCCTAACAAGCAGACTTTAAAAATTATTTTGTGCCATCTCATTTGCACGAGTAAAAAGACAACATTTTTATCAGGTTGCTTTTTAACTTTCTGTACAAATTATGGCTCTTTAAAAAAAAAATAAAGAGGGCTTTCTTTTGTGCCCACATAATACCCATGTTTATTCTCTCTTCTCAAAGCACTCAACCCAAATATTCTTTCCTCGCTGACTTCAGGAAATATTATATTGATTTTCTGGGAAAGCAAAGAGCCCCAGGACAGACTTGGACATAATGACCTGCCTCCTCTTACAAGAGGCTGAGACCATTATAGTTAAGAAGCGTGGAGATCAGCCACTCAGATGGCTGGTGCCAGTACCTTGACGAATGTTTCCAAATCCCCATTAAACAACTTAGTATTATACTGTGAGCGGGGCCTGGACTTCCTGTGTTTCTGGGGCTTAGGGGGAACATTTGGAGGCCTAAGGGAAGGGAATATAATTACTGAGCATGGAAGAAATCAAACAGTAAATGAAACATCTATAGGTCACATCAAAATTACAAAACACGGGAATCTTGGGGTTCCTTCCCCTCCCCCAGTCACAGGGGAAAACATCCCTCCCGTTTCCCATTTATTTACTTTCATTTCTGTATCAAAAATCATATGGATTGTTTATTCACATTGCTGTTTCCCTGTATGTTGCAGCTGACATTTGTTTCTTTGCTGGTTTGTTATAAAATTATAAGCACTACCAAGTAGACTCGTTAGCTATTTGCCCAAATGTTAACAAACCAGCATTCTTGTTATTTGGTTTACAAGCCACACAGTAAGATACAACCGGTCATAAAGATTAGGGCTCCAGTAGATCCCTAAATGAAGCATTAAATATAATATTTTTAGGTTCATGCCTTATTTTTTTTTTTTTTTGAGAAAGTGTCTTGCTCTATTGCCCAGGCTGGAGTGTAGTGGAATGATCATGGCTCACTGCAGCCTCCACCTTCTGGGCTCAAGGGATCCTCCCACCTCAGTCCAAGTAGCTAGGACTACAGGTGCATGCCATCATCCCCAGCGAATTTTTAAATTTTTTGTAGGGATGGCATCTCCCTGTGTTTCCCAGGCTGGTCTTGATCTCCTGGGCTCAAACAATCCTTCCACCTTGGCCTCCCAAAGTGCTAGGCATAAGCCACCTCACTCAGCCCAAAATACCAATGCAAATAACATCACATCTGTTCGATACCCCTCTAGTAGTAATGGGGTTTCATTTTATGCAAAAGTAACTATTAATGGGTCACAAGTGAAAAAAATTGTTTGGGTTCACTGCTTTTTCTGATTTGGGGGACATATAGGCTTGCATGAATCACTATTTCTTTAGAACAAACTATTCCACCATCTCAATATCTGTAGAGCATGAGGATGTACTCGTTTATGTCACTGCAGACTCTCTTCCTCTCCAGTCTGCCTGTCTGCTCTGGTGAATAAGCCATTCTCTCTGACATATGCACATCCAGTGCAGCATGCAGTGTATTCAGAAGCTCTGTATCACCTTGTCCTGTTATTGCAGAAGGGGAATCTCTTCTGCTCTCTCCCATTAGTGGAAAGAAGACCAGAATTACCTGACTCAACTTCTACTGCTGTGCTGAATTAAATACAAGGAAGGAGAACCCAGAAACCTGTTTCTGGATGTTTTAATATAAAACTCCTTCTTAATTGCAAGGCTTATAGGAGGATATACACCACACTTGGAAATTGTGTAAAGCCCTTCATTAAGCTTCAGACTCTCTAGGAAAATTTATCTTTTTTAGTTCATTTAGCTTAAGTTCAGAAAGTCTGGCTCATATACCAAATCCCAAGAAGTTACGCGGAAGCCTGACTAGCTTCACAAGACACTGCCATGTATGGAAACAAATACTGGTACGGCCTTCTGTAGCTAAATTCTAAGACCTCCCAGGAGATGGACTCATACGATGAATGGGGTGCACAGCAAGCACATCTGAAGTCCCACAGTGCTGGCGAGGTGAAAAGGAGCCTTTGTGAGTATCAAGAAGAGAATATGGAAACTTCTACCAGGCAATGTATCCTCTCTTATCACGGCTGAAATTTCTGAGATCTCTTTTATACAATGAATTCTGTGCCATTCACAGAGGAAGGAATCTTATAGGTGTAAAAAGAACAAAACAACCAACCACCAAAGGGTTTAATCCTATGTACTTGATTTCATCCACTCCTTTAAGTGTTCCAAAATGTGGATTTTATTGATTGATTGTGGATTTTATTTTTATTCAGGTATGGTGAGGCCAAGGATTAGGAGATAATTATTACTGACAAGATAGTTACTCACAGTTCCCAAGAGTTGGAGACATGCCCCATTATCAGGGAGGCCGCAGAAGGAAACATCAGGGTTGGTCAGGAGGCAGAGGGGTAAAGGAAAATGTGGGCAAGAGTCTTTATTGTGGTTCTCACTGGAGGGAATGGGAGAAGCTGGGCAAGCAGGTTTAGAATAGGCTAGTTTGAATGATTCCAGTGGGTTTTGGGACATAGGGACTATCCCTAAATTGTCCCATATCTGGCCCTGGGATTAGGGAAGGGGAATAGTGGCCCTAAGTGTGAGAACGTGATGAAGGAGGTGGTTGGAGGTAGGTGCTGTGGATTACCAGGCTTGCAAACAAAAGGCACACTTGCAAGCCAGTCCTTACTACTGCTATGAATTGGCTAATCTTGGGTGGATTAACCAATTTTGTGTTTAATGCTTTGATATCTTGGGGCCTTGCTGACCCCTTCCAGGGTCAGAAGTCCTTCTGGGGTCAGCAAGGCCCCAAGATATCAAAGCATTAAACACAGAAACTAGAAAACGTGGTTATGACAACAAGGTCCAAGAGAGCTTCACATCTGGTGATATCTGGAGAAGCTGACAAAGCTAAGAAGATTAGAATTTTGTTTGGTCACTGATTCACGGAGAAAGCCAATCTTGTAGCTGGAGCCAAAAACTTCCAATGCACTGAATCATTGTCCCTGCATGACTGGGAGATGCAGGGTAATCCTGACTAATGGAAGGATATCTTCTGAGTCTTCTATCAAAGGCCTGAAAATTACCTCTTCAAAGGATTCTCAAGTATGTTAAATGTGAACACATAAAAATTGTGAGAGGAACTTGGAATGAAAATGAACTGCCTGAGTGCTTAACCGAGTAATTTCCATGGTGGAGGTCTGATGATTCTGGCTCTGCTATGCCTACATCAAGCGAACAGAGCTAGGACCATTCAACATTCCAATGGCATGACCCATTCTGGTTCTGTGCCTAGCACATGACTTCCTGATCACTGGTTTCCTATAGAGGATGCCCACATGAGAAGTACTGGTCAGGTTGATGTGAATATCTAGTCTATTTGGCAATTTTAGCTCTCATTGCAAATTAATATATTTACATTTCTGTTTTTTAAAAAATCTTTTTTTTGAAATGCCTTACATTAATTATAATTGAGAAACAACAGGTAAAATAATTGATAGTGTAAGGAGATACTATAGATGAAAAACATCTCTATAAGCTGCATATTACCAGGTAGAGGTAATGGTCCTCTTTTTCACTGATATGGTGAAAAAAAACCTCAGTGTTTTTTTCTTTGGTTAGGTTTGGAAAAGTCAGGAGCTGTATCTTTCTAGTTGGTTTACCAAGAAGTACAAGGGGCTTCCTTATGAATAAACTGCCCAGCAGTAACATTATAGATCTTTGAAAGTCGACTTGCCAATTACTGCAACAGATATACTAGGGTTCTAAATGCCTCTTATTTCAAAGAGAAATCAACTTCAAAAGTGCAAAATCTTGCTATGCTAATTAGATAATTTCTGGCTGTTGCACAAATGGTGACAGAAAAATAAAAGTTGCCGCAAACTTTCCTCAACCCAAATTGGAATCTGCTGCCCAAATGGCTCTTCCTTCTGTAGTAGCTTTATAATCCTCCCCTGAATGAAGAAAGTACAATATGGGAATATGGGTTAAAAGTTAAGTGTTTAAAGCGAATCAAAATGGGGAATATAGAGAGAGCTAAAATCCTAAGGATACTCAATATAGGTCTGATTTTTATTTATTTATTTATTTTTTGAGATGGAGTCTCGTTCTGTCACCCAGGCTCGAGTGCAGTGGCACGATCTTGGCTCATTGCAACCTCTGCCTTCCGGGTTCAAGTGATTTTCCTGCCTCAGCCTCCTGCGTAGCTGGGATTACAGGCGCCCACCACCACACCTGGCTATTTTTTTTTTTTTTTTTTTTTTGTATTTTTAGTAGAGACAGGGTTTTACCACGTTGGCCAGGCTGGTCTTGAACTACTGACCTCAGGTGATCCAGCCCTCTCAGCCTCCCAATGTGCTGGGATTACAGACTAAGCCACTGTGCCTGGCCAGCTATAATTTTTTATATGACCAAAAGAAAATAGGAATAGAAAATAATTATACTTTCTACTTATGCATAGATGTACACATCATATTGTTTTTTTAATTAAACTATCAAATTAAAACTCCTGTCACACCATTAAGAAACACTTAAAGTGTGCTGGATTAGATACACCAAGCCTGTTTAACTTACGTTTTTGTTGCTGTCTCTGCTTATTTAAGAGCTTTACAATTCTAGAGGGAAACACTTAAGCCAGAACATACCTCGTCTTGTGAAAAGCCCAAACATTTCATGTTGCTATGCTTTGTCAAGCCAAAACTATCTCCCGTATTCATTAACAAAATATGTTAATTCTTTCAGCACTGAAATGGTTGCTTCTTGTTAAAGAGAAAAGTGAAACATGTTATAAGTTATGATATTTTCCTACCTTGTAGTCATATACTCAGCTCTATGACCTGCAGGAAAAAAATTAAAGTAAGTAAACAGAATGGAATCAGTGGAATGTATGTGCTACTCTTTTGTATCACCTGCCCTTTATTTTAAAATGTTGAGTTTATAATAACTTACACATTTTTTAAATGACAGAAAACATAAGGATAGCATATGAAGATAGACAAATAATTCAAAGTAAACATGTCATAAAATCTAAACATAAAATTTAATAACTTCTATAGATCTGAGAAACATGTTTCACTTGGCAATTTGAGGCAGGTTTTGTTGGTTTTTAAAATTTTTAAAAAATATATATTTTATTGCATTTTAGGTTTTGGGGTACATGTGAAGAACATGCAAGATTGTTGCATAGGTACATACGTGGCAGTGTGGTTTGCTGCCTTCCTCCCCATCACCTATATCTGGCATTTATCCTCCTGTTATCCTTCCCCATCACCTATATCTGGCATTTCTCCTCCTGTTATCCCTCCCCAACTCCCCACCCTAATTTTTTTTTTTTTTTTTTAAGAAAAGAAACAAGAATAGCTGCATGATCGTAACTGTAAGCACAAAAATGAAATACAAATAAGACACATCCAAGGGCTACATGTTAGTTATTCTTTCTATTTTGATTGATACTTGTTGGGGAGAACCATGGGTTCAAATAGAGTTGGGAAGGTTCAATTTCTTTAGACTAAGTTGATGTTGTTTCTATAATTTGAATCAAGGGACTAGAGAGAAGTTGCAGTCTGTAATCAGAAATGACATTTGCAAATATTAAAGTACTAGGACATTAAATGATACTACATTCCATCAACTTGTAAGCTAAAAGCCTTTCAGAGTTCTCTGTCCATCAAAACACGAATTGCTTATACATTTGGATTTCTTGACTTGTTTTAAGGAACAGGGCTGAATTTTTGTAGTGCTCCCACAATCTGCAGTAATTTAAAGCTTGCATGTGTTTATCCGTTGCTTTGTAAGTTTAGGGCAGAGTGGTGGGAAGGAATGTGGGAAAGTTGAACCATTCAACTGGTTTGTTTGCAAAATAATGACATGGTCCTGAAACAGCTTGAAAATATACCTGGCAGGGGATGGTCACGTTGCAGCACAAACAGCTAAGCCCAGCCTATCATATCATAATGCAGTGATTCAGATTTCTGGGGCAAGGCCAATATAACAATGGCAAAGAAAGCTGGCTTGTTGGGAATGGCGAAATCAACACTCCCAGGCTGCAGCAGAGCCTTTTACTCTAATATCTGCTCTTGAATAACAAATAACATAAAGGATTTGATTAATATCTATTGATTAAAAAGGGAGAAACAGTTAAAATCTGAGACTACCTTTCTTCACATAGGGCCAAGTCCACAGTAAAAGTGTTGGCAGACTGAGTTCATGGCCATGAGTTGAAATGGGATGAGGGAAGAGGAAGAATCTGATTTTTCTTCCCCCTCCTCCTCCTCCTCCTCCTCCTTCCAGTTCTACTTATTCAAATTATAAGTCCCTTCCTTTTGCTGGCCTTCTACTACTTTGGAGGAGAAGAAAAAAGTGAAGGTATACATAGACCTTCAGAATAATTTATAGCTACTCATGAATGAGAACGAAGGTCTACTGGGAAGTAGAGGGGGCAGATGGTGAGATGACTGTGGTATGTGGTGCCTTATGGGATATTCTAATGCAAGTGTTCAGCAGGAAGCTGGCTCTACAGGGTTAGAGCACAGAGAAAAGACAGGGCTGGAGATAAAGATGTGAGTGTCACCACCACTTAGGTTGTGTTGGGTCCACAGGAGCTACATAAGATCACCCAGTGTGAGGCGGTGGAATGTGAAAGGGTTGAGGGTAGAGAAACTGCCTGGCTTGCGCTGTATTATAGTGTCATGTTGCATACTTTATTATAGCATTAAGTCTAATTAGGTATGATGCAATATATATTAGTAAAAACAATAAAAACAACAATGATGCCTAATATTTATTAGATACCATTGTAAGCACTTTATATTACATATATTAACTCACAATTTTCACAACGACTTTATGAGATAGCTTCTCTTACTATCCTTATTTACTGAAAAGACTGAGCATATAGAAAATTGACTTGCCCAAATCCACACTATTAGTATGAAGTGGACATAGCACTTGGGTCCAGGTTTGTTTTAATCCCAGTCCTAAGCTCCCAAGCACTATAATGTACCACCTTTAAAAATGTAAGTCTTTATTTCCTGGCAAATACTTCGAAAGATCCTGGAAGAAAGGTAGGGATTATGGCTTACAATTCTGTATGCCTCATATGGCTAAAGCCAAATACAAAATACTGAATATTTAAATAACTTTAATAAATTTTATAAATATGTACATTATTAAATTAATAAATATCTATAAATGTAAATTTGATAACATAGGTAATCACTTTCAAGTGACTCAATGATAATGATGCCAGTAAGAATTCCTTAGAAATGAAATGTGTTATAACTTTGAAATTATGCTATTTTTGTTAAAATATCCCACATTGTTCCTTAGATTTAGAAAATATGTAAAATGCTGAAAATTATTTTGTTCCATCCATCCGTAGTTAATAGTATGAGATGAAAAATTAAAAACCCATAAAAGATACATTTTGAATAATGAACCAAGGGCAAGCTTTCTAAGAACTATCATTCACAACATAACTGCACTACCACATCCATCGTTTTTTCAACTAATAGTCTTGAGTGTGTCTCAACTGATGAATGAGGTTTTACTTTTTAATCAGTATCATCATTAATAGATCAATAACACACAAGCTTAGAAGACTCTCCTTCCCAGAGAAATGTGAAAGCTTCCAGCGGTCTGAGGATTAGATTTCAATCATTTTCTTTGGAAAGCTATTAATTATTAAAAACAACAGACCACTCCTTCCCCTGTCTCTGCCCTCCCCCGCCATACAAACCATCTGGAAAGAAAAAATGACCCAGGGTTAGCTTGGGCCATTTTTGGTGCAAACGTTTTTTTTTAGCTACTCTTAAATTTCACATGAGAATTATGAAGTGAATTATTTTTCACACCTAAATGCATTTTATCTCCTACATATATTTAATGAGGAAAACTAAAATATAGTTTAGTGGTCTGATATTTTTTAAAAAAAAGATAAAATACTTAAAATGTGTATAGCTCAAATGAGACCCAGGCATCCTAGATTTGCCTAAAGGGCTGATAAGAACTCCTGGCATTACTTTCCAGTCCTTTTTCTTCCTTAAGAATACCAGCTACTGCAGTGCTTTTCTAAAAAACCAAAATTATTCACAATCAGTTCCCTTTTGAAAGTATACTGGTACTCCTTTCAGAAACAGACAATGGATTGTGTGAGGATAACCTATTAAATTCCTTTGTCAGAAATCTTATGTCCAGGGCAAGAAGCAATGTAATATGGAGCTCAGCTCCTAGTGTCAGATTTTCTGTGTTTAGCAAAATTGCACTGATATTTACACCCCCCTAACCCCAAATGTTGCACACAAAGAAGCCAAGGTGAATATTAAGGCTCATTACTGAAAAAGAAAAAAACAATTCAGGTTCTCAGTTTTCTAGATGTATATCTCATTTAGTGTGGTCAGTTTAACTTCTATGATTTAAAAACAAATGACATCACAAAAAGATACAATGGTGTTGCTGAGGGATGAAGAAAATGATAATGATGAGTTTGGTCTTAACAACTCATTATGTGTTTCTATTTCAGTAGTTTTCAAAGATTTGGAATTCTGAATTTTGACAGTGCCACTTTAAGAGCCCAGTCTAGTTGCACATCACAATGTTGTAAATCAAAGGACTCACTGGGCCACTGGCAGCCTGCCAAAAATTGAGCAGTAAGGCAGGCCAAACACATGTCTGTAGTTACAGATTCCGCTGTGTATGAGCAACTGCTAAATCTTCGGACTAGGCTCTATTTGTTTTACTATAAAGGCAGTTTTTGCAGTGGTGAGTCTAGTATACTTCAGAGAGGCGATTTCTATATACCAAGTCAAGACTGTCCCCAAAGATACCATTGAATCCTGTACTAGTAACTCTATTATGCCAAATCTAGACTCAGATTCCTCCATAAGGGCTCACCACGGGATTACTTCACCATGGGATGGGCACCATGAACTCTCCTGGTCTCCTTTGGTGTACCCTATTAACATGAAGAGGGCTTGCATGGAAAGCTGGCAGGCTTATAATGGTTGGGCTAAAAGGTGGGGCATGTCTCCCATGCTCAGCTTTTCTTTGGGCAAAGTTGCCAGTGTCAAATTCAGGCAGTGACCAGCAATTGGGGTGCTACCACGCTTGCAAAAGGGTCAGGGCTAGGGAGCAGAGAGGTCTGCAACCCGTGGGCAGAGGCTAGTGTGCCTCCTACTGATGGATGAAAGCCATCCAGTTTCTTCTGCAGCATAAATTGAGTCCTGTGAAGGTCTTACATACCTCAACACAGCTTGTGTCCCTGGAATACCAGAGCCCATTCAAAGAAATTCCCAGATAAAGAAATCCTGAGTTGGGCACTGTGACCCATGCCTGTAGTCCCAGCACTTTGGGAGGTTAAGGTGGGTGGGTCACCTGAGGTCAGGAGTTTGAGACCGGCCTGGCCAACATGGTGAGACCCCATCTCTACTAAAAATATAAAGTTAGCTGGGTGTGGTGGCAAATGCCTGTAATCCCAGCTACTCAGGAGGTAAAGCTAGAGAATCACTTAAACCTGGGAGGTGGAGGTTGCAGTGAGGTGAGATTGTGCCATTGCACTCTAGCCTGGACAATGAGAGCAACATTCTATCTCAAAAAAAAAAAAAAAAAAAAGAAAAATTCTGGCTTGCAGCTCACAACGTATAATATAGATTTATGCGGTTCAGCTGCTAAAGGTGGAATTTGGCATGTGGATTCAATAAATTGGCTAGAATATAGCCCTATCCAAAAATAACATGTAAAAGAATATTAACCATTGGGGCTTTCTCTCTAGGAGACACAAGAGAATTCATGTTGAATACGTACCATAAAAGTTTTAGAATGTGGCCCCAAGCATATTAACACATGTGTCTGCATGCAGTGCCAAGAATGAATTCCCCCACTACTTCATACTCTCAAACACAATTTGTAAAGTGGTATCCATTCTCACAGGGTAGGACTTTTTGCCTGTAAGTGCTCATTTACACTTAGGATAATTTATGCTTTGGGGCTGGCAACTGACCTTGAGGGCATCACTTGAAATATCAGGCATTTGTGAAAAATTGGAGGGGAAAAAAAAAAAAGAGCTTACATGAAACTATGAGGGAAAAAAGAAAAAAAACAGGACACAATTGTAAGAAAACGATTCAAAGATAAAAAAGCTTCTTTTTTTTTTAAAGTTCAAACCTACAGAATAGTTAAAAGAGTAGCATAGAAAGCATCCTTATCCTCTTCACGTAGATTTTCCAGCTGTTAATGCTTGCAACATGGACTGGACCTTCTCTCTTTCTCTCTCCCTGTATGTTTTTTTTGGAACGATTTGAAGGTAAGTTGCAGATATCATGACAATTTAGTAAGCATTTCTTAAGAATAAGAATGTTCTTCATAATACCATGATCATATATAGGAAAATTAACACTAATAATTTCATTTAATATACAGTCTATATTTCAACTTCCCAAATTGTCTTTAAAAAGTTTTTCATAACTTTTTCTTTTTCATTCAGAATCTAATTTAATCTAGTGTGTGAAGGTCCATACATTGTATTTGGTTATTTTATTTTGTACAGACACTTTTTAGTAGTTTAAGTGTTGCTTTTTTTTTCCTTTTAGGTGAAATTAGCCTCATGGAATCCAGCATCCTAACTGTGTCAGACATGGTTCTTAGGTCACAATAACCTTTCTCCATGTGGTCATTCCCTGATGACAATGAGTTCTTTGGTGGAAACCAGGAGACAAGTGAGGGAAACTTTATGGGTAAGGAAGGTTCCACAATGGTAGGAGACAAGAATTTAGGTCTAAGAGGGGCAATCTTTTTTTTGACCTGAGTTACTCACACAACTCAGTCCTCTCATTTCCCACTCCCTTCCGTGTTCTCTTTTACTTTTTATAACTTCTGGCAGGGTCTAGTGTGAATAAAAGATAAAGTTACAGACTATGAGGTACTTAAGACAGGGGCTTTGCCTGTGTTGACCTTTTTCCTTTTAAATTTCATAAAGACAAAGAGAAACAGTAACATTTACACAGTCCCCTTTGCCTATATTCCCATGTCTCCCCTCAGTTTCCTCATTTGTAAAAATGGAGAAATTAATAGTGTACAGTTAAACATATGGCTCAGAACAAAGCCTGGCACAGAGAAAGCCTTACAAGTGTTAGCTGTTGCTGTTGTTTTTGCCTTTATTATTAGACATGGCAATCTACTTATACTGTAAGATTGTTTCTCAACTACAGCCAATGCCTATTGAAAGAAAAAAATCACCCAAACTGGTTTAGCTGGTTTCCAGAGTCTAAATAGGCAATAGATGGAACAACAAATACTCATTAAAACAAACAGGGGTGGGGCTGGAAGGGTGCAGAAGCCTGAGAAGGGAAGAAGAAGCGACTGGGGGGTCAGCAGGTAAGGGAGGGGCAGTGCCTCCAAACTTTTCTAAGATCCGATCTGAAGATCCCTTCCTTGGAGCTCGGTATTGACTTTCTAGCTGTCCCTAGATTTCACTACGTTTCCTCAAGGTTAGCACTACGCTTTAGAAGAAAATAATGCTGGCAGAGCTTGATTATGACATATACAGATGAAACCAAATCTAAACACAGAGTATCCTCAGCTTCCTAAAGCACAAATACACAATTCATCCTCTTTCTGCAATACATACATGATACAATGTATCATCCAGGTCATCTTCTCACACATTTTGAACAACTCACCTTCTCCAAGGGTCCTCTGCAGCAAGTCATGTTTGGCTTGAAGTTTTGTGATGAGATTACTGCCTTCCAAATATTCTCTGAGTTTCTGCAAAAGGCAAGAATAATTTTTAAGTTTTAAAGATTATTCAATGTCAAGGAACTTTTCATAGATCTAAAATCCAGCCACTTTGATCTTCCAGATCCTAGAAACTTACTACTCAAAGTGTGGTCTCCAGACCAGCAGCATCAGCCAACCCTTGGGAGCCTAGAAGAGATGCATACTCTCAGGTCCCTTCTGTATCAGACCTCTGAAAATTAGAACTGGCACATTAACCAGCAATCCTGGTGAAATGCGGATATTAAAGTTTAAAAGTACTGTTTTTTTGTTTTTTTAATTTTAGAGTTGGGGTCTCACTCTCTTGCCCAGGCTGGAGTGCAGTAGAGTGATCTCAGCTTACTGCAACCTCTGCCTCCTGAGCTCAAGTGATCCTCCCACCTCAGCCTCCCAAATAGCTGGGACTACAGGTGCACATCATTATGCCTGCCAGCTAATTTGTGTGTGTGTGTGTGTGTGTGTGTGTGTGTGTGTGTATCTATCTATCTATCTATCTATCTATCTATCTATCTATCTATCTATCTATCTGTATGTTTTATAGAGACAGGGTTTCACCATGATGCCCAGGTTGGTCTCAAACTCCTGGGCTCAAGTGATCCTCATACCTCAGCCTCCCAAGTGTTGAGATTAAGGCATAAGTCACTGTGCCTAGCTAAAAGTACTGTTTTAGAGAAGTCCTCTAACTCCTAAATAAATCCTAAACTCTTTCCGTGACTGACTGAATCCGGAGCTCTGCTGGTAGACAGGGGTCTATTTTAATAAAAAGAACCCCACTTGATTCTGATTCGATTATAGAAGCAGCCCTTGGGAATCCTAGATCTGAGCTCTGTAGAGTGGCTTGGGAAGTGGCGGGCGTACCATGAAGTAGAACTGTTCAGTTTCCTGCTGGTTGGCTCTTCGCTTGGCGATGCTGGGCTTACTCAGGTAGGTTTCAGAGACAGTGGACTTCACAGATTCTGTGGAACGACTATGCTGGAAGCATTCAGAAACATCATAGTCCTCGATGGTGACCATATCTTGTATTGTCTGCAAGGTGGCTTCAGTCGTTTTCTTAACCTGGAATCAGAAATACATTTCTCATGTTAGTACATTATTTTATGAATCCCACAAACAGAGAAAGTCCCTTCTGTCAGGCAGAGATGAGGACACAGGCCCTGCTCCCACCAAATTGACAGTCTATTAGGAGAGAAACAAAGGGGAAAAAAATAGTCCATATCACCAGTTTAAGGGAAGGATTTCTTTAAAATCATCCTAAGGAGGTTATCACTTTATATTTCAGTCCTTTCAAATCTCATATATTACTGGGTAGTCTCTCAATCACTTTGTCTTAAATAACATTTTTAATTGAAGTCAAACTACATATAGAAAAATACACAGACCATAAGTGTGCAGCTTGATGAATTATCACAAAGTGAACGCACCTATGTGAATACCAATCAGACCAAGAAATAGTATATTAAAAGCCTGCTTGTGCCTCTCCCAATTACCATATACCCATACCTTCTCCTCCTCAAAGTACTAATGAAGTGTATTTCTAAGATCAGATATTAGTTTTGCCCTTTCTTGCACTTTACATGAATGAAATCCTATAGCATGTATTTTTGCCTTCCTTTTGCTCAACATGAGATACTCATATTTCATTGGTATTCATTACACGAATACACTGTAATTCATCCATTTTACTATCGGTAGAAGATTTATTTTTAGTTGCGGGCTATTTTGAATAATGCTGCTATAAACACATTTTTGTTTGGTCACACATATATGAATAGAATTGCTTCTAAACCGCTTTCCAAAATGATTGTAATTTATATTCTCACCAGCAGAGTGGAAGAATCCCTGCTATTCCACATCCTCATCAACAGTTGGTATTGCCAGTCTTTCTTTTAAATTTAAACAATTGTGTTGGGTGTGCAGTGGTATCTCACTGTGGTTTGAATATGCAATTCCCTGATACATGAGATTGAGCACATTATCATATGTTTAAGGCAATTTGGATCTCCTTTACTGAGAACACTTTGTTAAAATCTCTCACTCCATTTTCTGTTATGAGTCTTTTTCTTAATGATTTGTTGATATGGATGTGAGTCTTTTTGTAGTTATATGTGTTGGAAATATTTTTTTCCCACTCTGTGCTGTGGTTTTTTCCTCTTTCAATAGTGTCCAGATGAACAAAGATTCTAATTTTAATGTCATGCATTTATCAATTCTCTCCTTTCTGATTAGCTTTTTTGTGTCCTATTTAAGAAATATTTTCCTATCTCATAGCCAGAAAGATAGTGTTTTATGTTATTTGTTAGGAGCTTATTTATTTATTAATCTTCTGGTAGCCTTTTTTTCACCGAAGGTCATATTCCACCTTTGCTTATCAAAGTGTAATGTTAATTGATAGCTTTTTCCTTCTCTCACACAATATAAAGAGTTTAGAACACCTTAACTTCATTTACTCCTCCTGATTTGTATGCTATTTTTGTAATGTATTATAATAGAATATATGTAAATATTTATATATATTTAAATTTAAAATATTATTATTTTATATAGTCAATATCCATTCACTATCATCCACGAATTTGTTACATTCTTTGATCTCCATTGCTTATATTTTAAGGGTACCCTTTAAAAATTCTTTTTAGTATGTGTCTGTTTTGCTGACTTGACAGTGTCTTTTATTTCACCTTCATTTATTAAAGATCTTTTTCTGTGCAGCAGTTATTTTCTTTTTGTATATTAGATATCACTGTACTCTGTTGTGGCTTCCATGTACCTGTTGAACGAGAAGGTTACTGTCAGTCTGTCACTGCTTGAAGAAAATCTGTTTTCTTTTTCCAGCTGCTTTTATAATTTTCTCTTCATCTTTGGGTTTCTACATTTCACCGTAATATATCTAGGTAAGGATTTAAAAAATACATTCTGCCTGGAATTTCTTGGACTGCTTGAATTTGTGTGATGTTTTTCATAGGCTTTGGTAAGTTTGCAGCTTTCATCTTTTCAAATATTGACTCTATATTCTACAACTTTTCTTTCTGGGCTGGGCACAGTGGCACTTTGGGAGGCCGAGGTAGGGGCATCTCTTGAGGTCAGGAGTTTGAGACCAGCCTGGCCAACATGGTGAAACCTCATCTCTACTAAAATACAAAATAGTCGGGCGTGGTGGTGTACGCCTGTAATCCCAACTACTTGGGAGGCTGAGACAGGAGAATTGCTTGAACCTAGAAGGGAGAGGTTGCAGTGAGCCAAGATCGCGCCACTGCACAAAAAATTTTTCTTTCTGGGAGTTCAGTTAGTATACTAGATATCACTGTGTTCTCTATATCTCTTACTTACTCTTCTGTATTTTATCTTTTGTTTTTTGCTGGTGTATTTTTATTATTTCTTCTGATTTGTCTTCTACTTTGATGATTTATTTTTTAGCTCTCTCTGATATTAAAATCACCCACTTCTTTTTAAATTTTGGTTATTTCTCAGTGCTAGAATTCCTATGTGGCTCATTTTCAAATCTGTTATTTCACTGCTTATGATTTCCTGATGAAATCTAAGCTTGGCTTTTACCTCTCTGAATACTGTAAGCAGTTCTTTCATCATTTATTTCTGATAATCCCCATATTTGGAGTTCCTGTGGGTATGTTTCTATTGTCTATTATTTCTTCTGGCTATCACTCATGGTCTTATCTCCTCGTCGAATGATCTTTGGTAGATATTTTTGTAGAGTTATTTGAAGTCAAAGGTGAGGTTATCCTCCAAAGAGAATGTTTATTTCCCCAAACCGTTAGGGGCACTAATAGTTCAGAATCTCTGGATTTTATTACTGTTCAAAATATTCAGTGCCCTTCCTTTTAGGAAGATACGGTTCCCTGTCACAGGTTTCAGGCTTGACCATGCATCTTGTCCTAGACAACGGAATTTGAAAGAATCAGTTGAGTGACCCAGTCCACCATTACAGGAAGTGGAAATCTTTTCAATTACTTTTTTTTTTTTGAACAAAATAATGTTTGGGAAAGAAACAGTAGCAATTAGTACTAGTTTGGATGCTTAGAAGGTCATGTGATGGAATTAATATTTAAAAAAAGAAGGCAAAGAAATTTAATAGACAGTCATTATTCCTGTTGTTATTCCATTACCCTATGCATAATGCAAAGGGTAGATACTGTTGGGAAAAAAAGCATATTAAAGATCATTAAAAATACTGTAATTAATTACTTTAAGGAGGTTATTATGTATCTATAGACTGAATTAAAAGAGCCACCATCCTACACTAGTCAAATAGGTTCTTGCGGCTTGTAGACAAATTTCTAATGACATTATCATGCACAAGTTTTAAAAGCACTATATTTCAAACAAATAGATGTGAAGATAGTGTACTCTGAGAAAAGTGTACTTGATGACTCCAAACGTGTTTGATGACTCAAACATAATATCAGGATATATGAAGAGTCTCCATAAAATTGTAAAAATGAGAAAAAAATAGTTTTTCTAAATTAAGACACTTTTATATAATATGTGCTTTAAAATATTTATGCATAACTAAATTAATGGCTAAATATTAAAGGTAAGTATTTGACTATGTTATCCACAACTCCATAAATTTTATATTTACAATACTTAAAAAAAATGGAAGTCTTTACTTGTGCCGACATATAGTAATTAAAATACTATAAAGTAAATGCCATTACTTCTTTATTCAATTAATCTCTTGATGTTGACAAATGTGTAAGAAAACACAGGTGAAAGAGTATATCATGTTGTCTGAGGAAGTCATAGAAGGCACCATTCATTTAATACATTTTGAGCATGTATTAAAGGGTGAGTAGGTGTTCACCAGAAAAAGGCATTCCAGGCAGAGGAAAAAGTGGGAAAAGAGAGACCCTGGTATCCCTGGGCTATAACAAGTAGCCTTTTATGAGAAGTAGGAGTGCGCAGCATCAGGAGAAGATGACTAGCTAATAAAGGCACTTCCTATTGTATGATACTGAGGTTAAAATTAAAAAAACAAAACAAAAATAAAGGCCCTCATATACCACACTTAATTGAGAATCAACAGGGAGCCACTGATACCCAGAAGGGACAATTTAGATTTACATTTTTAAAAGATCCCAGAACTGATGAACAATAAAAGGGAAAGAGACAGAAAGCTGACAGAAAGCTGGAAAGTTAGTCAGGAGACCCTAGTTCCATTGAGAGATGATGAGACCTTGATCTAACAAAGTAAGAGTGGGAATGAAAATGATAGGACATACTTGAAAAACATTTAAGCAACAGCAGTAGCAGTTAATCTTTTTCAACAAATGGCTTGTTTGCAAAACTTCTGGAAAGAACAACAGCTTCTTTTGCTCTGGAAGGCAGACCAGAACTTCCAAATACACACAAATATTCTGCAGATACTGGTGAGGTGAAGTATAAGAATAACTTGATGTAAGGTGCAATAAGGTGCTCTGATATGTACCTAATTAAAACACAATGGCAATTAAAGGAAAACAATGACAAAAAAAGCTGCTAAACCAAAAAAACCCCAAATCCATCTGAACAACCAAAAACCCCCCCAAATAATCATGAACCAAAATAAACATTTGTAGCTTGTCTTCAAATACAGTCAGTTCTTTTTTTCTGTGGATTCCATATCCATGTATTCAAACATTCACAGATTCAACCAACTGTGGTTCAAAGATATTTGGGGAAAAAACAATAAAAAATAATAATGCAATAATAAAAATAAAAATACTGTATAACTATTTGCATAGCATTTACACTGTTTTAGGAATATAAGTAATCTAGAGATGATTTAAAGTATATAGGAAAATGTGTGTAGGTTATGTGCAGATATCACAGCATTTATATAAGGGACTTGAGCATCCTTGATTTTGGTATCTGCAGGAGGTCCTGGAACCAATCCCCCTTGGATGCCAAGGGACAACCATAATCTGTAAATCTGTTGGAATTTTGCAATTAAAGTGTGCTCACTGAGTTTATGAGACAGACAGTTACATAAGAATGTTTCACTAGAACCACATTCTTATGTATAGGAAACCAGAGAGAGCAGCATTATCAAATGCACACAA